GAAAGACAGACAGAAAGAAAGAAAGGAAGAAAGAAAGACAGAGAGAGTGCTAAAACTGGTGTCAAGGTCCTCTTTCTAAATAGAAAATTCAATTGCCACACTGGAGATATATTGTAAGATTAAAAGCAAAACTGTCAAGGATAATTGTAATTAAAATAGGCACAAGAAGAAGTATGACTGTCTACATCTCCAAAGATCAAAATGCTCTGTTCCACCTTGTGATGTCATGATACAAGTTTAGTTCAGTATTCATTGGAAATTCCAGGGCTGAAATTATCCAACTGATTCTAGAGAAGGAGCATCATGACCTTGTGACATGACATCACAAGATGGACCAGGGTATTTTCAGTTTGAGAGAAGAACTCCTAAGCCTAAATATGCAGAGTTTGTGTGGAAAAAACAAAACAAAACACAACTCTAGGTATGATTTTGATGTGGAAACAACATTATAACATAGATCAGAAAAGTAGCGTAATATGGGCTCTTTAAACATCTTTTGATGGTGAAACGTTTTCAAAATTGTAAGCTACAAATAAGGAAGCTAAAATAGTATTGGTTGAATATGTAGGGATATCAAGATTAGGCGATTTAAAGAAATCATGGTTATTCAGATCATAGTATAAAAAGTCGCAGAATAACTAAAAATAATGTTTTCTTTACAACCTCTTGTAGCTGAGATATTTTTTTTTTTTTTTTTACTTGTACATATACATTTATATAATTATACCTTATTTGACTAGTTTGATTCATCAGCTGGTTTCACTTCATGAAAACCGTCTGACCTCGCAGCATTAGAATTCATTCACTTGACAGTAGGCAGGTACTTTTTTATTTAACCAATCGCTGCTATTTGGTCATGACGTATGTAATGCACCAAATCCCGTAAGAAGAAGGGTAATAACATTTTTCCAACTGGTAAAATTCACCAAACATCGTTGCCAACACAGAATGTCTGTCTTCGTCTACATCCATCTTGACCGCTTTGTTTACTGTTGTGCTCTACCACAACAGGGACCCAGACAGGCGCTTGAGTTTGACGTCATGGCTTCACAGCTCTTCACTAATTGGCTGGTGTGTGGTCTACAACTTTCAGGATTCTTGCAAACCATCTAGTTTATTCCAGTTGCTGGAGAGAAATGAAATTGAGCTGACTTTTTGTGACTTACTTAGAATTTTTATTACCATTTATATTTTTTCTTGTGATATATGAGCTATTGTGTCCAAGTAATATCCCTTGTTGGGCAATAAAATTTGTTTAAGTCTAAGTCTAATAATATATAATAATTATTTAATTTTAGAAGAAAAAAATTACCATGTTTTAATTGAAAAATTTGCAAATCAATATAATAATCACTTACTGCTTCATGACATTACAGGATGGAAGCTTGTGAATGAAACAAATAACTTTTTAACATGGCCTATTTGTGCTGCTTTTCTCCATGGAGACACATACGTTTAAAGCTATATTGATTAAGACAAACCACAAATATCTCCACAGAGCTTGTAGAGACCTCCCTACAGAAGTTACATAGTGCACCTTTAATTCTGGTGTGTTTTGTTTAAAGGGGTCATGTGCATGTATGTGTGACCTAAGTACAGATGTATTTTAGGATTTGGATTTTGATTAGTTCAAACTGGAGCAGCGGGCAGCAGCTCTCCCTAACTGGGTCAAATGTGTGTTTTTATAGACAGTTGTCGGGACACTAGACAAAAACGTTGGAAATTGGGGCAGTCTTTTTGATACAGAAATTCTGCACTTATGACTACAGCAGGGTTTAGCAACACTGGGCTCCTGTTAGAATGTTGTCTTCTCATCACAAACAGACCTGAGGTTGTGTTTTGTTTCATTCCCACTCTTTAACACACAAACCCTCCAACCCTGTTTAGACTTCTGAGTTCTTCTTTCAAACTGAAAGCACCCTGTTCCACGTTGTGATGTCATGTGGTAAAACAGGAAGTTCTCCACCATGGTTTTAAACTACACCTTCACTAGAATAATTTGGATAATTTCAGCCCCGAAACTGCTTAATTTTACTAAACAAAAGGTCAGATTTAGTTAACTTGAAAACTACTGTGACATCACAAGGTGGAACAGAGCTTTGGAGATGTAGACAGGAACAACAATAATGAGTCACTTAAACTTGTGTTATAAGGTACTCTTACTTGAGTTGTAGTTTCACAAATACTTTTTAAAGTCTTTTTTGAACCACTATGTTTTACTTCTTCTTGTGTAATATTAATTTGAAGCAACCAGGACTAAACCATGACTAAACCAGGACTAAAGCAGGACTCAACCAGAAATAAACCAGGACTAAACCAGGACTAAACCAGGACTGAACCAGGACTAAACCAGGACTGAACCACGACTAAACCATGACTAAACCAGAACTAAAGCAGGACTCAACCAGAAATAAACCAGGACTAAACCAGGACTAAACCAGGACTGAACCAGGACTAAACCAGGACTGAACCAGGACTGAACCACGAATAAACCAGGACTAAACCAGGACTGAACCAGGGCTAAACCAGGATTAAACCATGACTAAACCAGGACTGAACCAGGGCTAAACCAGGATTAAACAAGGACTAAACCAGGACTAAAGCAGGACTCAACCAGAAATAAACCAGGACTAAACCAGGATTAAACCAGGACTGAACCAGGAATAAACCAGGACTAAACCAGGACTGAACCAGGAATAAACCAGGACTAAATCAAGACTAAACCAGGACTAAATCAGGACTAAACCAGGACTGAACCAGGAATAAACCAGGACTGAACAAGGACTAAAGCAGGACTAAACCTGGTTCAATTAGGACTAACCCAGTTCTGGTTGATACGGATCACTGTAGACTCAGAACTCTACATAAAAGCTGAAATAAACTAGGACTAAACCAGGATTTAACCAGCTCTAAACCAGGACTAAACCTGAACTAAAGCACTAACTCAATACTAACAATATAATTACAATTACACTAGTTTACCACATCAACACTACAAAATGTGTCTCATGTGTTCAGAAACAGAAATTGACTGGATTAAAAAATAAATAAATAAATAAATAAATTTAAAAAGCCCTATTATTTTGCAAGTGTAATTGTAATGACTGTATTTTCCCACCAGAGGGCGACAAACTCCACGGAGCGTCCGTTTAGGGAACTGTCCTTTCAGCACCACATCGACAACAGCACCGTGGATCACAATACCTCAACATATATTTAGATTTTGGCTATGTATTTAAAAATATATGTAGTCCACACAGCTTTATGCAAACGAATAAAGTTTTAATTAAAAAAATAAATAACAGTTCAATGGGCATTTTTGGTGAGCTTTTATTACGCGGATAACGTCAAAACAGAGCCAGAAAAGGGGGGAAAGTACGTTCCCTTGGAGGCTGCTGCTGCAACAATTGGATCCCGCGATATTAGCTCCGGGGACATAAATTTCATGCAGTGTGCACAAAAGCTTTTAAGGCACAGCGCAGCGGCCGCGGAGAGGAGCGGAGACGAGAGGAGAGAGGCAGCAGGCAGCGGGGAGTGCGAATCCAGCATCCCACCCCCTTCTTCCGCCGCCCCTTCCACAAACGTGCACAAACGGAATTAAAACATCTTCAATCGCTGCGGCAGACTTCGGGGCCTTCGGAGGCGCAGACAGACGCTACGGGGCGACAGCGAAATAACGAGAGAAGAAGAAGAAGAAGAAGACGAGGAGCGAGCGGAGGAGCGATTTGGGGCTGCATCGCGAGCGAACGAAGCGACGAACGGACGCGCTCATCGTGACACAGGCGCTTGATTGTGTAATAGATTTTTTTTTTTTTTTTTTTTTTTTTTCTGAAGAAGAGCAGCAAAGAAGGAGCCAGTAGAGGAGGGGGGATTGCAACATTCAGCATCGTTTATTTTCTTCGCTGTTTCATGGCGCAAGGGCTACAAGGAGAGCGGGACCGTGCCATTCTCCTGTCCACCACTATTACTGCTGCTGCTACCGCTACTGCTGCTGCTGCTATCCTCGTATCCTCCTCCTCCTCCACGGCACTGACTTTCCCCCGGTTCTCTAGCAGCGGGAGGAGACCGAGCGCCAGCCGCCTCTGTGTCGAGTGATGCCCGCTCTGCCTCTGTCCCGCTCCGTACAAGAACAAGAAGAAGACCCCCATTTTCGGCGGAAACCTTCCCAGAGCTATAGGGCTACATATGGAAACTGGCGACCAAAATTTTAGGAAAAAGGAATCTCCAAGCGGTTTATTTTTTGGTTTGCTTTCTATCTAGGCTACACACAAGAAGAACTGGTAATTAATTAATAAATTAATTGAGTCGTTGAGGCTTGATTTCCCCATTTCATTGTCTAGCTGCGTGTGTGCGTAAATATAGATAGCTAAGGTTGATCATTTTGCGTCGTTGTGTCGGTTTTGATTTGGGTGCTCGCTCTTGTGTTCGCTCTGATATGAAAGATTCCTCGCTGCTGTCCATTTCCTTGCATTCTTCCGTTTGATTAACGCCAGGACACTGTAGTGGATAGCGTTAGCTCTGAAGCCAATAGTTGTGTTAGGTTAAGTGTTTAAGTGATTAGGAGACGTACAAGCGTGCCGTGCGCCTGCCTCATGCCCGCGTGAACATAGGAACAGGTAGTTTTAGGCCTGCCTCAGTTCGCTTCATCTCAGTGCCATTTATAGTCACTGCCACTCCACGCGTAAGGACATCTCTGCGCCCCGGTTCAGCTGCAGGCCGGAGCTGTGTCCTCTTCACACGTCTGATTATTGTGGTTCAGATCCAAACGCCAAAGAGAGGAGACGCCAAACCCGGTCTTCCTCTCACCTCCCAAACCCGCGGCCGTTTTTCTCTGTTGAGGTCCTCACCCAAACGCAACCATAAGGTTCCTACCGCATCCTCCTCCTCCTTCTTCCCTCTCCTTCCGCTCGAGTATATCCCGCTTTTTCGGTTTGGTCTGGTCCCGTAAATTTTCAAATATTTACTTCTTGTACATTAAGAGGAAAGGGGGTCCCCCTTTCATGGAATGCGGAAACATGGGTCTCTTCGACCGCGGAGTCCAGATGCTGCTGACCACGGTGGGAGCCTTCGCGGCCTTCAGTCTCATGACCATCGCGGTCGGCACGGACTACTGGCTGTACTCCCGCGGCGTCTGCAAAACCAAGTCCATGAGCGAGAACGAGACCAGCAAGAAGAACGAGGAGGTGATGACCCATTCAGGGCTGTGGAGGACCTGCTGCTTGGAAGGTAAGACTGTCACCACACATGCTGCGTTACATGCTTTTGGGGACACGTGGACCCAGACACACGAGGGGGCCAGTTCTGTTACTGAGAAGAAGAACTAGAAACATCTGGGAGAACGTGTTGAATGTCTGTGCACATGACAGTGGAGGTTTACTGCAGAACTCCTTTCCTAACTGTTGCATTATGGGAGCACAACAGACACCTGCTGTTTGTGTCACGTGAGACATACTGAGAGGAAGCACATTGATGCCACAGCTGTTTGGGTCTGTGTGTTGAATCAGGTGTCCAAGTGTGGCCCGCGGGACAAACTTGGGCCTTCAAAGAGCTGGATTTGGTCCGAGAGATGGATCAGGAACTTTTAGAGGGTTAACTTTGATTCTTTTCTGAATTTAAAGGGCACATAGTACGCTATCTTCTGATCTGTGTTATAATGTTGTTTCTTCATCAAAAGCATAACCAGAGTTGTGTTTCTGTTCCACCTCGTGATGTCATGTGGTAATACAGGCAGCGCTCCACTGTGTTTTTAAAGTTTATACACCTTCACTAGGATTATTTGGATTATTTCAGCCCCGGAATTGCTAATCTCTACTGAACTAAATGCAAAAAGTAGCTGTTAACTTGAAAACTACCACTACATGACATCACAAATTGGAATACAAGGTTACTCAAACATGTGTGAATGAAACAAAACACAACTCCAGATATGTTTTTGATGAAGTAACTACATTATAACATGGCTTAAAGCTCACAAGAGTTTTGCGTAATATAGGACCTTAAACGCACAGCAATTAACAGAAGGATTTATAGTAGGCCTACCATTTTTCTGATTCTTTACTTAAGTTGCCCAAGAGTTTTGGCTCCGTAAGTCCTTACAGTCAACAATTTTTGGGCATGTCTGTATTATTTTCCACAGAAGCTTTTCGAAACTTACTACTTGTGATTCTGGTCAGTCAAAATTTAAAACAATGATCCGATTTGAGAACCAGCTCTTTCTTCTTCAAGTCTCATCACTCTAAAATGAGAAGAAAATTATACATGGAACTTGGCGCCCCATTGTTGACGCAAGTGTTGAAAGTTCATATTTGTATCTCATTCATAATAATCTAAAAAAACGTGTCAGCTTCTTCATCACTGCAGACAACTGAGAAGCCTGACGGTTTTGTATTTGGAATGAACAGTGTACTACAATCTTATCATTTTGCTTCTGGGGTTGATCGGGTTTGTGTCTTGTCAAAGTAGTTGAAGTAGTTTACCAAATAATGTTCAAATTAAGTGATTTAAAGGTCCTATATTACACAAAATTTACTCTTGTGAGCTTTAAGTCATGTTATAATGTTGTTACTTCATCAAAAACACACCCGGAGTTGTGTTTTGTTTCATTCACACGTGTTCACGCTGTAATTTTTCATTAATAGTCTGTTTACATCTCCAAAGTTCAAAATGCTCAGTTCCAATTTGGGATGTCATGAAGCAATAGTTTTCAAGTTAACAGCTCATTTTACCTTTTGTTCAGTAGAGATTGGCAATTCCAGGGCGGAATATTGAATTATCCAAATGATTCTAGTGAAGTAAAACACACTGGAGCACTTCCTGTATTACCACATGACATCACAAGTTGGAAGTTTGAGAGAAGAACTCAGTCTAAAAATGCAGGTTTTCAGTTTTAAACATGTGTGAATGAAACAAAACACAAATCCAGGTCTGTCTGTGATGAGGAAACAACATTAAACATGGCATAATAGGTTATCTGATGTTGAAAAAGTTGTAAATTAGACGTATATAATCTCAGTGGATGTAAGAATAACCGAAATATCGTGATATCGTGATGTCAGAGTTCTCACAATAATATCGTGGACCATCACAATATATTGAATTACAAGTCTCTTTGCTTAAATTAAGAGTTATGGTGCAGCAATAGCTAAAAAAAAAAGACAGAGGGAACTACATAGACCATGATCCTTTGCTCCATTTCAGTGTAGACTACAAGAAGAAATAACAGTTCTAAGCACTTTTAAGCCTTAGTTCTTTGGAATAAGTTTTGTCAAGGCAAGGTTTTTGTCAAGGCTTTGTTAGCCTCCACAAAATATCGCAATAAATATTGTACCCCTCACCATATTGTGAGCTTTCCCAAGCATCTTAAAAAATATCGTACTGTGAGGTTCATACAATGTCGATATCGTATCATGAGATTTGGATATCGTAACGATATCCTACTTGGTTGAGTTCTTCTTGTACTCTAAACGTAGTCCTGGTTTGTCTGTGGTTTGTGTAAGGTTTAGTGCTGGTGTAGATCTAGTTCAGTCTTGATGTAGTCCCTAGTTTTAATGCAATTATTTATTAGTCTGATTTAACTTTATTACCCCATAGTAATATAGCCTTTTACTAGGCTATATTTAAAGGGACCATGTTACGTCATTTTCTGATCTATGTTATAATGTTGTAGCCAGTTTCAGTTTCATTTCTCTCCAACGACTAGATCAAGAATCAGATTACACTAGACGGTTCGTAAAATTCCCAGAAGTGTGAGTTCGGGCACCAGCCAATCAGTGAAGAGCCATAAATTCTGTGTTGTCAACGATTCCAGAGATTGAGGATTTAAAGCCGGAACAAAGAGAATGTTTGGTGAATTTTATCAAGTGGAAAGACGTCATTGCCCTTCTTCCTACGGGATTTGGGAAAAGCTTAGCACCGTTAGTTACATACGTCATGACCAAATAGCAGCGATTGGTTAAATGAAAAAAAGTACCTGCCTACCGTCGAGCGAATGAATCCTAACACTGCGAGGTCACACGGTTTCTACGAAGTGAAACCGGCTTATGAATCAGGCTAATAATGTTGTTTCCTCATCCAAAACATACCTGGAGTTGTGTTTTGTTTCATTCACAATCCTGCATATTTAGTTCTTCTCTCAAACAGAAAACACTGTGTTACACTTTGTTACACCCTGCGATGTCATATGGTAATACAGGAACTGCTCCACTGGGTTTTTAAACACATGTGCTAGAATAATAAAGGTAAAAGGCAGAAAACATCACAAGGGGGAAAAGAGTGTTTTGAGCTTTGGAGATGTAGACAGATGTGTGAATGAAACAAAACACAACTCCGGGTATGTTTTTGAGGAAATAACAACATTATAACATCTCACAAGAGGCAGTTTTCAGTAATATACTATAGGACCTTTAATATGCATCGCTATTTTGAAACAACCTGGTATAATGCGTGCTACTTAACCCTTGTATATCCTCTCGCGTATTGATCTGGAGCAGGTCCGTCTGTATTGTTTTAAGTGCCGGCTTTAGCTGTTGTCACGGGGGGTTAATGGATTGAATGTAAGGACATATTAAAAGGAATATGTGAGGGGAGTGGCAGGTCACTTTCACAATGACTCTGCCCGATCCATAGGGCAGCAGGGGTCAGAGCACAGGGGCGGGGCTAACGCGAGACATCGAGTTACAGCCACTCAAGTAACTTTATGAGCAGATATTACTTTTACCACATAACACATTTGACTTCTAGGAGCTGGAGCTGATTTTTACTGTCTTAAAAAAACGGAATTGTGCGTTGTGTAACTTTTCTGGTGGAGGGTCCGTCAAATGCTTTTCTTCATGGAGATGTTATTGCTTTATCTTAGAAACCACAGGTCAGATTTGTGGAAAGGCAACCCGGCTCACAGTAGAATGAAAATTTTCTAAGTATTTTAGAGCTATAAAAACACCTGTAGTTGAATATATGTAAGGTAGAGTTGTTTAAAGTTATACTGTGGAACATTCCAGGCAGAGAAATGAAGGACCCCCAACCGAAAAGTTATTCTGCACATCTTTAAGTTTAAACTTATTCTGAGCATCCTTTTTATTCACTTTGATGAGTTTAAAAGCGCGTTGTGCAATTTCAGTCATGATGACGCTCGCAACTAGCATGCAGTAGCACACACTTCCTGATTATCGGACAATAGAATGTTTTAGTTGGATGCAGACAGTACACAGCAGACTATTTTGACTTGAACAGCTGCTCATACCATATATCAGTCATGTCAAACTCAGGCCCGGGGACCAAATTTGGCCCACGATATAATTATATTTGGCCCAGGAGGTCATATCAAATATGTATTAGAGCTGCCCGTTGGCTACAGATAGACTATAGAAACATTATTTATTTAAAATGTGGGTAACATTTTAGATTACATATTAACATATTATTAGCTAGTTAATAGTAAAATGCATAATAAGTGCTTAATTATATCTTTGTTAATATTTATAAAGTACTTTTAATGCATTTTTGTCTAAGGCCATATTTTGTGAGTACTAAAGCATTAACTATTTTCTTTCCATTAAAGTGAAGATTACAATAGATGTTTTTGTGCATACACTGAAATCTTAATAAGCATTAATAAGTGTTTGATTAATACCAACTAATAGCTAAATAACAGCTAATTAGGAAACCGATTACTCTTAGTTAGTTAGTTAGTCCCTAAATTAAAGCTCTACCAAATGTTGTTATTATTTTATATTCTGCTTGTTCTGGACTCAATGTTTAAGCAAAACTATTATTAAACATTTATTTTAATATGAAAGAAAAGAAAACATGTAGATGTTGTTTTTCAATAAATATTTAGTTTGGCCCACGACTTAGTCCTAGTTTTTAATTTTGGCCTCTGTGAATTTGAGTTTGACCCCTGCCATATCTCTATCAAGACAAGATTTATTATGCTCATATATGTGCGGAAAAAAATTATGTACAGGGCCTTTAATATTTGATTTCTTTATTTGACATGTAAGTCTATCGTGGCAAAAGCTTTTATGAAATGACTTTATGAACCGTACTTTTCTTCTTCCTACAACTTTTAGGCACCAATCTCTGAAAGTACTTGAATTTAACAGATTACATTTCATATATATTATACATCTGTATTTTTCTAAGTAAGAAGATCTAAGCTAATAACAGCGTATTGTATTTGTGTTTCTTGTGCTATACAGTACTTTGATTGTAAGGTCATATTATGCAAT